CCACCTCTGGTTACGGGGAAGCCAGCTCCACAGGCCTCCGTGGCCCCTCCTGGAGGGCGCTCAGGGCCAAGAGGGACAGGGCGAGGGGCGTGGGCCCCGCCTGGACCTCCCGGGACGCCAGGGGGTGCAGGTCCGCCAGCTGCGTCGCCGTTGGGGTGGCTGGGCCTGGGCCTGACGGGGAGGCTCCCGGTGGTCGCTCTGCTGAAGGGATGGGGTTCCCCCTCACCCTGGTGGGGCGCCAGAGGCAGGGCCTGGGGTCCGAGACCGCGTGGCCCCGTGTGCTCCCTGGAGGGGCCGGCTGCTCTCTGGCCTCCCTGGGCCCGCCCTTCCCAGCCTGGCCTTGGCCGTTGGGTCCCTGCGGACAGCTCTCCCCCCCAACCCCCGCCCCTGCAGACCTCACCCAGCCGCCAAGGAGGGTGGCAGCTGGCTCCCTCCTCTCCCCCCCTCGCCGCCACCCACCCCACGTGCGTCCCAGCTTGCAGCCCCTGGGACCCCGGGAGTGATCGGCTTGGCCCGGAATCTCCCCCACAGCGGGAGCTGTCGTGGCCCCTGGGTCCCGCCGGGGAGGGCCCGCAGTCGTGGGGGTCAGGAGCGCCCGTCAGCTCCCTGGGCTGTACCCACGGGGACACCGAGGCTGCCCCCCACCCCGTGGCAGCGAGACGGCGACCGGCCGGCCAGGAACCTGCGGGGAGGCCTCGGCGCGAACGGGGAGGCAGCGCCCTGGCCAGAGGAGGGGGCCGGAGAGGGAGGCCGAGGGGGCTTCGGCCGGCACCCCCAGCTCTGGCCTCAAGTCCCTGGGGGCCGCAGCTGCTGCGGACTGGCCCCCAGGGCCCTCCCCCCACCCGCAGTTCCCCCTCATGGACCAGCTCCTGGGGCGGGGGGGGCCTCACACGGCCCACCCCGTGGACCCAAGGCGAACTCTGTGCCTCCCCCAAACCCGTCCCCTGGGAACCCCCAAGTGCAGGCAGACCGTCTCTGCCTCCTGTCCCCGTTCCCTCCTGCACGTGCCGGCTGGGCCTCCTTCCAGGACGCCAACCTGACCGGGCCTGTGCCGGCGGAGGCCCTGCCCGAGCTGCCCTCAGGGGGGACGCCGCGGAGACCTCCACCCATCTCCCCGCAGCCGCCCCGCCCGGCCCCAGCCACCCCGGGGCTCTCGTTCCCCCCTCCTCCTGGGCCCCCGGGCCCCTGCTCCGCTTTCCCACCCAAGCGGGAGGTCGCCTCCTGAGCATCCCTGGGCAGTGGGTGCCCGGCAGGGTGTCGTGCCCACAAGGCCGCCCCCGCCCTGGGACGGGGCGGCCTCCCCCCACCCAGGCCCAGCCAGGCACCGGCGCGCTCCGAAAGGTGCTGCTGGAGGGTGGCCTGGACCGGTGCCAGGGCGGTGGGGGAGGGTCCCGGCAGCTGCGGCGCACCCACACCCCCCCGCCCGGGGCACCTCCTCGCACGCCTGCGCCCCACCCGCCACCCACCTGCTCTGGAGCTGGCTGGGGGCTCTGTGTGCTCCCGCCCGCCCCCCCCCCCCACAGCTGCATGCCCGGCTGCCCCTGCCGCAGGGAGTGCCAGCCGGCCCCCTGGCAGCGCCCTGCTGCGGACCCTCCCCGGGCTGCCCGGGACAGGACCCCGCACTGTGCCATCATCAGTGGGGGGCGCCCCAGAGGGCAGGGGGCGTGCTGTCCCGGAGTCCTGCTGTGCCACTGAGGCAGTGGGGACGCTCTCCCTCCTTGGGATCTCCCTGGGCCACTGCCCTGCTCTCTCTGTCCCTTCGCTCACGGCCCGTCCCTCTGCATGTGTCCACTCCGGCCGGACTGTGGCATAGGAGACCCCAGGGAGGCTGGGCGTGAGGTTGGGGGACCGGCCCAGCTCCCCAGGCCTCCCAGCCGACTCCCATCACGGTGTCCAGGGACTCGTGGCTGTGAAGTCCCGCGGGCAGCCTGGGCTGGCCGTCCTCCCTGGGGCCTCAGTCCCTCAGCCAGGCCCCCAGCTCTCCCCAGCCCCCTGAGCAGCCCTGGGGGCACCCCTGAGAGCTGCCGGGGCAGCCCACTAGCCGCCTGCAGGGGGCAGAGCCGAGACAGGCCCCGGGCCTGAAGCCCCTTCAGCTGCCTGCTGCCACGCAGGCAGGGGAGGAAGTGGGTGGGACTGAGCCGGAGGGCCCAGCCCGGCCCAGGACGGCAGTGCAGGCCCTCGGCTGGGACTGGGGGCTGCGGGGGAGCCAGAGGAGGGGGCTGGGGTTTTGAGTCGGGGGGCCCACAGACAGACGGAGGACCTGGCCCGGGCGGGCAACCCCCGAGTTCAGAGACCCCCCACTCTGAACCCCCCGTTCAGAGCTGGAGGCGGCTGGCCCGTGCATGCGGCTGAGCCAGAGCCCCCGCGGTGGAGCCCCACAGCGAGAGGGGGGCCCGGCCCCACTCCCGCACCCCCCGGGCTGAACCCTGGGCCCCCAGCGCGGAGCCAGAACAGACACAGGAAATCGCCTAATTGCTTCTGCTTAGGAACAGCAAATCCCTTGCAGCTGCAGCGGCTGAGCTGGGGCCACAGGCGGCCGGCTGTCGCCAGCGTCCTGACAGCTCCGCTGAGCGTGCCAAGGGGCCTGGGCCTCTGGCCGGGGGCGCCTTTCCCAGGCCGGGGGCCCCCACCCCACCCCTAGAGAGCCACCCCCATCTCAGTTCCCAGAACAGGGCCCAGCTGTGGATCAGTGAGGGGCTGAGGTCATGGGAGGGGCCAGGAGGGGCTGCATTACTCACATCCTGGGGCCTCGGGCAGGGGAGGGAGGCGGAGGGGGAAGGGGCCCAGCGGGGCTGCTTGTCCTCGGGCCGCTGGGTCAGGGGCTGCGGGGGGGGGGGGTGGCTTCTCTCCGTGTGGAGCTTTGGGGGGACACACCAGGGACCCCTGCCCAGCACCCTGCTCCCTGTGCCCCAAGCTCCCTGCCCGGGACGGCTCAGGGAGTCCCCCCGCGGTGGCCGCAGCGAGGGGCGACCCTCGGAGGGGCCTCAGGGAGGGCGCCGTCGGGGAGCGGGCCCTGGCCTCTGCCAGCGTGTTGCCGGGGCGACGGCCGGGCAAACAGTAAACAGAGTTCAGGGGCCAGACCTGCCATTTGGCCCTCACCTTGTTCCCACGTCCGCTGAGCACGTGCACGCCCGTGCAGCATGCATGTGGACACGGGGCGGGTTGTCCAGGCCCACGCGTGGGGTGTGGGTACACGTGTACATGTGCTGACACGGGCCTGAGTGCGGGGCACCTGGGGAAAGCGTGTGCGCGGGCGCGGGAGGCCCAGCCACGCGTGCTGTGGCCAGCACATGCCGCCACGTGGGCCGGCCCGGGGGGGCCTCTGTGCACCTCCAAACCCGGGACGCAGCATGGCCTCTGCACAGCGCAGGGCCGGGTCCCGGGGCTCGGTGCAGGGGTCCGGGGGCAGGAGGGCGGCCCTGTGCAGGCTCCTGGGAGAGGGGGGCCCAGGCCAGCCCATGCACACCCTCGCCGGCCCGCGCTCCGTCCGGACGCCCGGCGCGAGCAGGGCCGTGCAGCTTGCAGAGGGAGCAAGGGGGACAAGATGGCCGTCTCCCTCCTCCAAGGAGCGTGGGGTGTCGCCTCCTGGCCGCCCCGGGACGGGGCTGGAGGGCATCTTCCCTGCCCGCCACAGCCTGGGACCCAGCACTCCGCCGTGTGCAGGGGCTGCCGGGGCGCACGGCGGGGAGGGACCCCCGGGCCGCCGTCCCCCGCCCCTCCTCGCCGCCCCGAGAGCCCTCCAACCTCCGCATTCCACACAGAAGGGGCCTGCAGCCCCCGGCCCGGGGCCGGCGGGGGCGGGGCTGCGGGCCCATGTGATGGGGCCAGGTGTGGGGGATCAGGGGCTCCCTGGGGCCCGTGGGGGCGGGCGTGGGGGTGGACGGGGGGTGCGGGGCCCGAGTCCCACGGCCGCGGTGGGTGGGGGGGCAGGCCCGGGGCTGGGGCTGGGGCTGGGGCTGGGGCTGGGGCTGCGGCTGCGGAGGGGCCTGGCTTTTGTCTGCACGGCTCCAAGGAGACTCAGGAGAGATTAGATCACGCTGGCGCGCGGGCCGAGGGGCGGGGGCCCGCAGGAGGCCCCGGGAGAGTGAGCTGCGCCTCGGGGTCAGGCAGCGGACACGGGCAGGAGGGGCTGGGGCTGGGGGGCGGTGTGCCCCGCAGAAGTGGGGTCCTGGGGCTCCCCCCGGGCTGTGGGGGAGCAGAGGAGGGTCCGGGACCGGCTGGGCCAGGGACCCCCACCCCCGCCGGCCCGGGTGAACTTTGTGTAGCCCTGAGGTGGAGGGGGGCGGTTCTCCTGGCCCCGGTTCTGCCACAGGCCTCAGTTTCCCCATCTGTGAAACAACCCAGGGCAACGGCGTGGGGGGCTCTGAGAGGGGCCGGTGGGGTTGGGCGAGCCGACCCTGTGGGGCCCCCAGCACTGGGGTCGGGCTCCAGCTGGAGGCTCCCTTTCTCTGGGCCTCGGGCCTCCTGCGGGCCCCCCTTCTCCCTGGCCACTGTGCTCTTGGGGAGCAGGAAGGGGCACCCCAGCCAGGGTGGCCAGGGCAGCGAGGTAGCTGTCTGGCCGGGTGTGCCCCTGCCCGGCCCAGGCCCGGGCTGGCCGTGTCTGACTGGGCAGTCACCACTGGACTCGGCGGGGGGGACCCACGACACCAGCTCTCCAGCCCTCCAGCGATGCCCGCCATGTCCTCTGGGGCCCTGCCCGGGGCCTGAACCTCTCTGGCCTCTCACCTGCTGGGGTCCAGGGCCCCAGGCTGGTGGGAGGGGGCCCTTGGGTCCCCCCAGGCCTGGACACGGTGCCTGGGGCAACCAGACGCCAGATGCCTACAGAGCACCAGGGTGGCCGCCCAGCCCAGGGCAGCTCCACGGCCATTGCACATGACTCTGCCTAAAAGATGGGGAAACTGAGGCCCAGAGAGGCCCGGGGCAGCCCCAGTGAGGCCTGCTTGGCCAGGAGCAGAGGGCACGGGCCGAGGTGTGACTGACCGTCTCTCTGTGTCCCCCAGACCCGCCCCCCAGTGGAGCCCGGAGGATGAGGACGAGGCTGCCCAGGAGCAAGGCCGGCAGGACAGGGACAGCCTGCGGGCCCAGGACCAGGACGGCGGTGGCCGGTCCCCGGAGTCCCCGGAGTCTCCAGAGTCTCCGGAGCAGGAGAAGCTGTAAGCTGGCCCCCGGGGGAGAGGGGGACCCTGGGGGCCGGGCCGTACCCTGGGAGCCGCACAGCAGATAAGATGGCCAGGGTCTGGCCCACACTGGACACGGGGCTGGTGGCTGTTGGTGGGTGAAGGGCACCCCGGCCCCAGGGCCCGTGGAGCCTTCTGCTTGCCTGGCGGGCCCCCTGTGCGGCCCCCTACCTGGCCAGCCTCCGGGGCGATCCGGCCCTCGCTTGGACGGGCTCTGACCCCAGCTGCGCGGCCCTGGGCCCCAAGCCCCCCGCCCAGGCTCCCCTCTGCCGGTGACTCACGGAGACCCCGGCCAACTTGGCCGGCCCGCGGCTGGCTCTCTCCCCCCACTCCCCCCAACGGGGCCCGGGAGGCCTCACAGCCGGGCCGGGCTGCGCTTCCGACATCGCCCCCTCCCCAGCCCTGTTCCGTTCCGTTTTCCCCGAGTCAGCAGCTCTGGGCGGGGTGGGGTCCTGCAGCGGTCACGGCCCGGGCCCGGTCCTGTGCAGAGCCGGCAGAGGCTGGGGGGCAGGCGGGGGCCCCCCGAGCACCAGGGTCACGAGTCTGTCGTGGGAGATGGGGTACAGGGGCTCACACTGCTGCCCAGGGCAGCGGCCTGGGGCTCGGCTAGGAGGGCAGGGGGACATTAGTCATGCACACGCAGGACACAGGCTGATGGGGGACACACAGCTGTGCCCTGGGGGTGCCCTGGGCCGAGGGGGGAGACACAGATCAGCTCTGGGGGTGCCCTGGGCCGAGGGGGGAGACACAGATCAGCTCTGGGGGTGCCCTGGGCCGAGGGGGGAGACACAGACAGCTCTGGGGGGTGCCCTGGGCCGAGCGAGGGGAGACACAGATCAGCTCTGGGGGGTGCCCTGGGCCGAGGGGGGACACACAGCTGTGCCCTGGGGGTGCCCGGGGCCGAGGGGGGAGACACAGATCAGCTCTGGGGGTGCCCTGGGCTGACGGGGGAGACACAGATCAGCTCTGGGGGTGCCCTGGGCCAAGGGGGGAGACACAGATCAGCTCTGGGGGTGCCTTGGGCTGACGGGGGAGACACAGATCAGCTCTGGGGGTGCCCTGGGCCGAGGGGGAAGACACAGCTGTGCTCTGGGGGTACCCTGGGCCGACGGGGGAGACACAGCTGTGCCCTGGGGGTGCCCTGCCTTAGTGTGGTGAGATGCAGCCTTGGCCTCAGGCAGCTCCGGACTACGGGGGACCCGGTCCTACCCCCGGGGACTCTCTTACAGTGGGATTCGGGGTGCGGCCATGCAGAGCGCCTCCGTGGCCCCCAGGGTCGGGGAGGGAGCGCGGAGGCAGGGGCCCCCGGCCCCACACCCCAGCCCAGCCCGAGCCCACACTGCTCTCTGCCCACAGCCTGACGCCCTCGGAGTGCCCCGGCCTGGACGAGGATGAGGGGTTCAGCGACTGGGCCCAGAGGCCGGAGCCGCAGCCGTCCCCTCAGGCAGAGGGTGCGGAGGACGAGGCGGCGGACGGGGACAGGCAAGTGGGGGTTCGGGGCGGGAGGCGGGCCCCCGGCGTGGGCTCTGCAAGCCCCCCGGCCTGGGCCCGAGCAGCAGGCCTCCACTCGCCGTCCCCGCCAGCCCCCCGAAAAGGCCCCACGGCTGCGCGGGGGAGAGGGAGGAAGAGGGCGAGACGGCGAGGCGGCGCTCGGGGCTGCGGAGCGGCGGCGAGGAAATCTCATCCCGGGCTCCCCAGGGCCCTGGGCCCCGGCCAGACCAGCTGCGGCCGGCGGGGGTTGCCACATCAGCCCACATCTGCGGCCCACTTACGTAACGGAGGCCCCGGCCCCCGCGCCCGCCCCTTCCTCCCTCGGGGCTGGCTGGCCCCCATTCCCACGGAGGGGAGCAGGTATTTCCAGATGTGCCTCGGCCTGGGGGACCGGCTTTCCAGATGTGCGGACGTGTTTGCCGGGCTGAGCCGGGGCGGGCGGGGGGAGGCAGGGGCCCCCAGACCCCCAGACCCGGGGCTGGGGGCTGCTCCTGCGGCCTGGCCCCCCCTCCCCCGCCCCGCCCCCAAGCTCAGGGGTCTGAGCCGCTAGGCTGCTGCCCCGCCGCTGCGGGCCATTCGCTCAGGGTCCCAGTTCCGCTCGGGGCGGGGGGGCGCTCCAGCTGGCGCCCAGGGTCTCCCCTTGCCCCGAGTGTCACCCGACCCCCATCTCCGCTGCCCCCCAAATCCAGGCCACCTCCCAGCCCCCGAGAGCACCCCCGACCCACAGCTCCGGGCCCCCTTCCTGCATCTCTCCCCTCTCCTTCCCACACGAGCTGGCGCCCACGCCTCCTGCGCCCCTGCCCAGCCAGGGCCCTGGGCCTGGCGTGGCCTTCTGCCCGCCAACCCCTGCGGGCCTCAGTTTCCCCCCTCTGCCTTTGGAAAGCTGATGTACACTCTGCATTCCTTAAGCTGGGGCCGGGGCCAGCTGGGTGGCCCACCGCCCAGCTCCGTCCTCCCAGCCCGCAGCCGGCGCCGTCCCGCCAGCAGGGGGCACTTTGGCACTGCTGTGGAACCCCGCGCTCTCCTCTCTGCACCCCCACACCTGCCTGGCCCTGCATCCCCATAGCCCCGCCGCCGCGGCTGAATGGGCCCTCTGTGTGCCTGCCGCTGGCTGGACCCCAGCCCACCCTGGGCGGTGGGTCTGGGTCCTGGCTGGCGCGGACACCGAGGGGCCTGAAATCATGGAAAATTCGAGAATTTCCCACCTTCCCCTCCAGGTTCAGCCCCGCTCAAGCGCAGCAGCGCGGCCGGCTGCCAGCGGGCCGGCCCCCACCCTCTCCCGTGGCCGGCCGCGCGGCCCCTCTCCTGGGGGATGCGTCCTCGCCGGGACCGGCCCCGGCCTGCGCGCCAGCTGACCAACCCCCAGACCACCCACAGCCCTGCCTCATTCCCACGCAGCAGCCTGTCCCTGAGGCCCACTCGCCACCCACAGAGCGGGGCAGCCTCGGCCACAGGGTGGACGGGGACGGGCAGGACATGAGGCGGGGCCGGCCCACAGGGCCCCGAGACCAGCTCTGGCCTCAGCCTGTGGGTGGCCCTCCGTGCGGGGGGCGGGGGCGGGGAGGGGGGCTGTGCAGGAGTCCAGGGACAGGGCCCGGCTGCCGGGTCCTGGCACCCACTCCCCAAAGGTGCTTGCTGAGTCTCGGGGTTCCTCAGCACTCGAGGGGGCTGACCACCCCCATCCTGCAGAGGGGGGACTGAGCCCAGGGAGCGGGGAGGGACTTGGACGCGGACACTGAAAGACCCTGGGTCAGGCGGCGTCCCTCTTCCTCTCGCAGGCCCTGCGGGGACCAGGGAGGTGACCAGCTGAGCCCCACCGGAGCCCGCCTGGAGGGGCTGTGTCTGAGCCCTGGCTCCGAGCCCCTGGAGGGGCCGGGGTCGGAGGGCGCGGAGCCTGTGGGCCCTGAGGAGACCAGTGGGAGCAGCCTGGGCCCCGAGGCGGAGGAGCAGGTGAAGGCCGTGTCCCAGGGTCTGGGCCCCGTCTGTTCCTGCGCCCTGTGCACCCTGTGCGCCCTGTGCACCCTGTGCGCCTGGTGGGCCCGGCCCGGGGAGAGCCAGCACCCCTCACTCGTAGTCTGTGGTTGGGGGGGGGGGCTCCGGGATCCCGCTTGCTCAGGCCCTGCTGCAGAGCATTCCAGAACCAGAGCATGTCGGGGCTGGGCAGGACCTGGGGCCCAGGGAGGGGAGAGAGCTGCTCCAGCGTGTCCCAGGAGGGGCAGGCTGGGAGCGAAGGGGACAGTCACCCAAGTCCCCAAAGCTCAGACTGTTTTGTTCTCAGCCCCAGGAATGCCAGCAGCGCGGGACCCCGAGCCCCTTGGTCCTAGAGGGGACTGCAGAGCCCGGCTCGCCTCCCCTGAGCCCCAGCAGCAACGTAGGTCGAGCCCCAAACCGCCTTTGCCTCTCTCCCGGCCCCGGCAGCAGCCCAGGCCAGCCCCGGGTCAGGGAGGCTCCTGCTCTTCCTCCCCCCCGCCCCCCGGCCCCCGCCCCCCGCCCCCCCCCCACCCCTCCCCACCCCCGGCATCCGAGGGGCGCAGCACCGGGGCAGGGACGGGCCTGGGCCTCGCTCGGCCCCGAAGGCTCACGACCCTGCCCACCACCCTGCACAGATCGTCGACCGGACCGAGTGCCTGAACCGCTCCATCCAGAAGAGGTACGTCCGGCGGCCTTGCGGGCCAGGGCCCAGGGCTCCCCGGGAGCAGGGAGGGGTGGACACTGGGGGCCTGAGAGAGCTCTCCCGGGCCTCAGGGCGGGTGCCGGAGCATGGTGAGGGACCCCGGGTGTGACCCTTCCCCTGCCCCCCAGTAACAGCGTGAAGAGGTCCCAGCCCGTCCTGCCTGTGTCCAAGATCGACGAGCGGCTGGAGCAGTACACCCAGGCCGTCGAGGTACCTCCAGCTCCCTCACCGCCGCCGCTGGTCTGTCCTCTGCGCGCGCAGCTGTTCCCCGCACCCACACCTGTCCACCCACCCCACGGCCCTGCACCCACCCCATGGCCCTCCACCCACCCCACAGCCCTCCACCCACCCCACACCCCTCCACCACCCCACGGCCCTCCACCCACCCCACGGCCCTGCATCCACCCCACGGCCCTCCACCCACCCCACACCCCTCCACCCAAACAACACCCCTCCATCCAACCAACACCCCTCCATCCAACCAACACCCTCCATCCAACCAACACCCTCCACCCAACCAACACCCTCCATCCACCCCCCACCCCTCCACCCAACCAACACCCCTCCATCCAACCAACACCCTCCATCCACCCTATAACCCCTCTATCCAAGCAACACCCCTCCATCCACCCCACATCCCTCCATCCACCCCACACCCCTCCATACAATCAACACCCTCCATCCAACCAACACCCTCCACCCAACCAACACCCTCCATCCACCCCCCCCCCCCCCTCCACCCAATCAACACCCTCCATCCCAACCAACACCCTCCATCCACCCCCCCCCCACCCCTCCACCCAACCAACACCCTCCATACAATCAACACCCTCCATCCACCCCCCACCCCTCCACCCAACCAACACCCTCCATACAATCAACACCCTCCACCCACCCCACGCCCCTCCACCCACCCCACACTCACTCCCAAACCCGGCGCCCTCCCGTTCACCCACACCCTTCCAGCTCTGAGCCGGGAACAGCAGGAGGGCGGCTCGTGCCATCTCCTGCCCCCGCACACCCAGGCTCCCCCAGACCAGACGCCTCACCAGCGCGGCGATGGAGGAGCAGGCCCGTGCCCCCCCCACACAGGGAACGCGGCGCTGAGGAGACAGGGACCTGGCGGCTGTCGTCTGCGTGCTGGGGGGGTGGGCGGGGGGCTCTGGCACGGGCCTCTGGGGCGCCCACTGAGGTGGCCGCCGGCTCTGTCTCCTCTGCAGACCGCTGGCCGGACCCCCAAGCTGGCCCGTCAGCCCTCCATCGAGTTGCCCAGCATGACGGTGGCCAGCACCAAGAGCCGGTGGGAGGCGGGGGAGGTGCAGACTCAGTCTCCGGCCAAGGGCCCCTCCTGCAAGGTAGGACCCTCCCGGGCGAGGCTGGGCTCCTCGGGATGGGGGGGTGGGGTGCATGTGAGGCCCTGCGGGCATGAGTGGGGGCACACAGCACCCCAGGCTGCCTGTGGGAGTCGGGTTTCGCCAGGCTGGCCCTGAGCATGGACAGCCAAGTGGAGAAGGCTGCTGGGCCGAGGGAAGGTCAAAGGTGCCCCCGCCCACCCCTGCGTCCCCCTCGCCCTCGTACGAGAAGGCAGGCAAGCAGGCCCAGCCCCTGCCAGGCGAGGCAGGAGAGGAGGGCCTGGGCTCGGACCCCGCCCCCCCCGCCCGGGCTGCGGTCGGTCTGCAGCTGTCCCCCCTCCTGCCCCCAGGACATCGTAGCTGGGGACATGAGCAAGAAGAACCTCTGGGAGCAGAAAGGAGACTCCAAGACGCCCACGGCAGCGAAGGTAGAGTCTAAGCGGGGCGGATGGGGGGGGGGGGCCCAGCAGGCAGACGTCCAGAGGGGCCGTTCTCGGTGCACCCAGGAGGGCTTCCTGGAGGCGGCCCCAGCTCCCTTCCGCCACGCTCATCTTTGCTCTCGGCCTCCTTCCCCGGCAGGGCACCCCATCTGGGAAGAGGTACAAATTCGTGGCCACTGGACACGGGAAGTACGAGAAGGTGCTGATGGACGAGGGCTCCGAGCCCTAGGCCTCCCTCCTGGTGAGTCCGGGCCGGCGGCCGGCGGGGCTGCGTGGCGTGGGTTCCAGGAACGCGGCGGCCAAGTCGGGGCCTGCTCACCTGTGTCGGCGGCTGCGCAGGAGCCCGTGAGGGCCCGCCGGCCTGCCGCAGAGCTGGCCAGGGCCCAGAGCCCGCTGGGTGCTCCAGCCCTGCAGGTTCTCCCGCGCCCCCCCTTCCAGCAGGACCCCTCCCCCCGGGGGCCTCCACCCCGCTCGGCCCTTCTCTGAGGGAGCAGGTCGCACCTCCCTCCTGGGAAGGGGCCACGGCCCCCCAGAGGGGCCTCTCTGGCCACGGCAGGGCTGGCACCACGGGAGGTCGGCGGGACCCCGGAAGGAACCCTGGGGGCTCAGGTCCCACCGTGGCGGGCTGGGGGCCCGGCCCTCCGGTTCCGTGGGGGGCCTCTGTGGTCCCTGCCGCCCTCCCCATCCGCTGGTGCAGTCAGACAGCGACAGTGACCCACTGCTGTGGTGTGACACTTTTATTGGTGGCCTGGATCCCAGGACCCAGGCACAGCGCCCGCTGTGTCCTGGGGTGGGTGGGACGGCCAGCCCCCTCCCGGCTCCGCTGCCCCTCCCGAGTCCTGTCCAGGGCTGTGGCCTGGGGGCTCCCCGGGATCCTCCGTGTCCTTCTCCCATCGCCCCCGGCGTCGGTCACCCATGGTGTCTGGGGGCTGAGCCCGGCCCTCCCACACCCCTCACCCCAGCCCCCAGGCCTCCCTGGGCACCCGGCGAGCACCCGTGTGGGGTCCGCCCTGCCAGTGCCCCGCCTCGCGGTGGGCCCGGGCACTTCCTTCCCTGCCGGGAGCCCCCAAACACAGAACAGCCCGCTCCCCGCCCCACCTGCTCCAACCTCACCCCGCCTGCCCTGGTGCTTCCGCTCCTGGGCGCCGGCCTGCTGCTCCCGATGGCCCGGCCACTGCCGGGCTCCCCTCCCTCGGCCTCCAGGGGCCCCCACCCAGGCCCATCGGGCCCTGCCACCCTTTTCCGTGGCTGCGGCTCCCACCCGCCCCCCAGTCCCCAGCCCGGGGCCGCCCCAAAGCCGTTCAGTGGAGCCTCCAGCCAGCTGCCGTGCGGTTGAAGTTCCTGGGCTGGGGGCTCCGCTCCAGGACCACCGAGGGGGTCGTGAGTAGGGGCCGGGCAGCCGCCTCCTGCAGCTTCCGGGCATTAAAGCGAGGCCGGCACAGGTAGGGCAGGCGGCCGAGGCCAGGCCAGGCGCCCGCCCCGCCCCTGGGCCCCTCCGGGCTCCTCCGAGACTCGGCCACGGCCACGCGGTACAGCACGGCGTCCCACAGCCCGCAGGCCCTGGAGGCGGGGGGCCCGGGGGCCGGCGCCGGGGCAGGCTGGGGGGCCGGGGGGGCGGGGGCCGCCCCCGCCTGCTCCGTCCGCGTGGGGCTCTGCTCCGGCCCCGGGGGCGGCCGCTCATCCGCCTCGTCCATCAGCTGCTTCTTCAGGCGCGTCCAGCCGCTGAGCCGGGGCCGGGGTGCCGCGCTGGGGGCAGGGCGGGCGTCGGGGTCCGCCGGCAGGGCAGGGGACGAGGCCCCTTGACGGCCAGAGGCCTGCTCAGCCTCGGGAGCAGGGCCAGCTGTGGGGGGCTCCTCCAGGTGCTCCACCTCAGGGGCCGCAGGGGCCGGCCTGGGAGGCGAGGGCCCTGGCGAGCGGTAGGTGGGAGCGATGGGCACCACGACCCGGGGCCTGACCTCTCTGGGCCCCGAGGCCTGGCAGCCAGGGGGCGGCCTGGGCACAGGGGGCGCCTCGGGCCAGGGCCTGACATCTTGGGCCCCCGCGGGAAGGGGGCGGATGTGGGCCACCGGGATGGAGGGCTGGGCCGCGGGGGGGCGAGGGGCCGTGTCTCTGTCCTGGCCGCCGGGGCCCCCATCTGGGCCCCTCCGGGGGAGCTCGGGGGGCCCGGCCTGTGGGGGTGGCCCTGGCAGGAGCTGTGCCTGGCTGGCGTGGGCGGCCCCGGCCGTGGGGGCCGGGACGTGGGCGAAGCCGCCGGGGGCCGAGAGCCGGAGCCCCAGGGCCGTGGTGTGCGTGGCCGGGCTCCTGTGCTGCGTGAAGCTGAAGGACAGTGTGGACTTCTGCAGCGGAGAGGCCACGTGGTGGGTGGCGGGGCTGTGGGGGAGGGTGGCCACCACGCGAGGGGCCTCTGCCGGGCGCTGGGCCGCGGGCTCCTGGTCGTGGCTGGCCTCGCTCACGGGGGACAGGGAGGTGCGGAAAGCCCCCGGTGGGGCGCAGGGCCCAGCCCCGGGGGTCTTCTTCCGGGCCGCCCTCCTCAGCAGCCTCTGCAGGCGCAGGTTGTCCTTCCCAGGCTTCGGGAGCAGCGGCGGCGGGGGGCCCGGGGGGCCCGGGGGGCACAGGCCATCCGCGCTGGGGGGCACGGACGCCGTCGCGACGAGCATTGCTGCACTCTGCGGCGGGAGGGGCAGCCGTCAGCCGGCTCCCCCCACCCCCGCCCACGCCGTCTTGTCCCGGGAGAGGGGTGCGTGGGCCCCCGCTGTCCACGAGGACCCCCGGCCCGGGGAGCCGGTGCCTCCCACTCCCCGTGGCCCCAGCCCCGCCGGTCTGCACCAGCAGCAGCCCCGTGCGGGCGGCCCCGCTATCCCCCGGTGAGCAAGGGGCCCGCACAGGCGCGAGTCTCGGGTGGGTGATGGAGGAGGGCTGGAACGCAGCAGGGGGCCGGGAGACCCCCACGGGCCAGCTCCAAGTGGGGGGCACATGCTGGGCTGGGCGCCCACGGGGCAGGAAGCCCGCCCGCCCGCAGACGCGTGAGGGGCGCCGGGCCGTCGCCGGCCGACCACAGGCGCGGCCGCCGCTGAGAGCCGGCAGTGAGGGCCGCGGCTGGGGGGCACGGGGGGCTGGGGCTGCATCACCAGAGGTCGACGGGCCCCGGGGGTGGGAGTGGTTGCCTCTGAGCTGCGCTAAAGGAAGGGGTCTTCCCACAGACCTCCTGGCCGGGGTAGTCCCGGCCAAGCCCCCCCCCCGGCCCCCCGCCCTGGTCTCCGGGCGCCCCGTGCCAGCGCGGACATTGACAAACGGTGTCTGGCCCGACCTGCAGCTGCCTGGGTGGCGGAGGAGGGAGGCCCAGCCGCTGGCGGGGTGGGCAGGAGGGGGTAGGCCTGGGGAGGGGCCCCGAGGGGCTGCCCCGGAGCTCCCTATGGGCTGCTGCCTGCCTCTGGGGTGGCTGGGACCCCAGCAACCGCAGGAACCCCGGGTCGGTCTCTGGGGGGGTGGACAGGCCTGCAGGCAGACAGGTGGGGGGTGACTTGACCCCCCCGATCATGACCCGGGGTGCCAGGGCCCAGCCTCAGGTAGCAGGCTCCCCCCGGGTGCAGGGGGTCGGGCAGGGCCGCTGGAGCCTGCAGGCCGCTCTGGGTGGCGTGAGGGGTGTGCGGGACGGGGCCCCTAAGCTGCCGGCCCCCGGAGAGAGGCTGGGGGCTGGGGGGACCAGGGCGCCCGCCAGGGATCATGGCCTCAACGCCCCCCAACCTCACCCCCCGACCCTGTGTTTCAGAGTCCCGAGGCCAGGCGCCGCCGGCTGCCGTCTCCTGCCACACGCCCCGTCCACGCTCCCGGGGGCACGTCTGCCCGATGCCCACCCCCTGCCCCGCCGAAGACGCTGCTGCCCGCGGCCCACCTGCCTGCCCACGCCCCTCCACGGGCTGCCGCTGCTGCCCCCGCCGTCCCCCACGCTCCCTCCCCCGCCGGCTCTGCCTCTGCCGGCCGGGGAGGCAAGGGAGTCCCCCCACCCCGATGCTCGGCTGAGGGGGCTGACCCCACGGAGGCCGAGCAGAGACAGGGCGCCCGCCAGGCCTCACCCCCGGCCGGGAGCCCCCGAGGCCCGTGCAGGGCGCTCAGGCCAGTGCCCCCCCCCGCCCCGTCCCCCGATTGCGGCCCCCCCCCCGCATCGTGCACAATAAAGCTCTTTCTGCCCCCACACGCTGACCCTGGATGCTCGCTCGATGGGGGAGTGGCAAGGGGGCCCCAGGCCGGCCGGGCAGCCGAGGCCGCCCCCCGGCGTGGCGCGGGCCCCAGGCGTGCGGCGGCGGCGGGGGCTGGGGGCCCGCCCGGCTCTCCCAGGGTGTCTGCGAGGCCCCTGCCCCGGCCGGCACGACGGGGACCCCAGGGCCCCGAGGACAAGACCCGCCTCTCGCAGTGGAGGTTCGGTGGACGGACAGATGGGTGAACGGCGGACGGACGGCGGGGGAGTGGGGGCGCGGCTGGGCGGATGAGGGGGTGGAAGGGATGGGTGCGTGAGTGAACGGGTGGGTGGGTGGGTGGACGTAGAGAAAGAGGGAGGCGGGGGGGAGACAGTGAACATGAGAACGGACGTGCAGGAGTGGACGGTGAGGTGGGGGGGGACGGACGGGTGGGTGGGAGAGGGACGGAGGGACGGACGGACAGAGGGATGGAGGAAAGGGTCTGTGGAGGAATGGGAGGCAGGTGGGCAGGAAACGGTTCGTGAAGAGAGGAAACGGGGTTGGCGGAGAGGCCAGCAGAAAAACGGGTGTTGCACAGGACGCGGGGGGGGGGGTGGGAGCTGGGGGGGTTGGGGGGGACAGATGGACGGCAGGCGGATGGCCGGTGGAAGGTGGGTGATGACAGGGAGGGAGGAGGAGGGAAGTCGTGAGTGTGAGCGTGGGCCCACACAAACAAGTGGGTGGAGGGGTGGGCGGGCAGGCGGGCGGACGCAGGTGTGGAGTGGAAGATGGGGGAGACCCCCCCGGCTCACCCCCCTCTCGCCGGGCCTGCACGCAGGTCGGACTCTGGGCCCCGCCCCGCCACCCAGCGTCTGAGGGGCCCCCCGCAGACTGGCCCCAGGGCCCGGTCCACGCAGAGCCTCCGGTCTCTGCGGCCCGCGTGGTGGGATGCGCCGACCTCCCCAAACACAGAGTGAGCCAGACGGCCCGGAAGGGTAGGACCTGGAAAGGTCACAGCCGCCCTTCTCACTCCGGCCGCCCCTGCGGCAGTGTCCCAGGTCATGGTGCTTTCTCCCTGCCCAGAGCAGGATGGGACACCAGCCCTGGACAGCAGGGCAGGAGGCCGAGGCAGTGAGCTGGGACCAGAGGGGCAAGCCGTGGGGCTGGGGGCGGGTGAGAGGCCAGAGGGGGCAACCGCCACGCGGCCCTGAGCCCCCCACAGCTGCGGCAATGCAGGCCCTGGGGTCAGCACCCGCCCCACCGAGGCCGAGAGGCTCAGAGGGCCTGCTGCCCCCCCTCCCCCGCCATCTGCCCTCCTGCCCGAGAGGCCCCAGGCAGGCCCCCTGCTCCCCCGCTCCGGGCCCCAGAGCGCCCCCCACGGGAGGCGGAGGAAACCTGACCCCCAGACCACCCAGGGTGCGTGGGACGCTGCGCGGGGCCGAGAGGGAGCCGCGTCTGCAGCTTCTCCCGGGACCCGGCGGAGCCGGAGCCCCCGGGGCCCAGGCCGGCTGCGGGGCAGGCCGGCACCATGCACACTCGGGCCGGCCCAGCGCTCCCTCCCAGCAGATGGTCAAGTCACCTTGGGGCCCCGCCACCCGCAGCGAAGCGCACGGAGGCCCAGGCCGTGATCAAGGGACCCCTGTCCTCCCCGCCATCCTGGGGTCACCCCCAAGGACAGCCGGAACCAAGGCGCTGAGACCCTGTCTGCCGTCGGCCCTCCAACTCTCCCTGGGGTGAAGGCCAGGCCCCCAACCCAGCCCGGCCGGGGCTGCCCCGTGCCCTCCCCCAGTGCCCTCCCCCAGGGCCCGGCTGAGGGCCCTGCCCCGGCCCCTCCCGACCCACCCCAGCCTGGCCAGACGGGGGATGGTGCTCATTACCTGCCGGAGGGCCTCGGTGGCCGGCCACCCACCCGTCCGGCAGTGCCCACTGGTGCTGCCCTGCTGTGCCGCAGGCCTGGCGCCTGCGGGGAGGCCGCTGATGCCCAAAATAAAACCTGCCCGACCCTCTGACCTCAGCGCTGGCGCTCTGGCTCTGCCCCTCACTGGGAAAGCACCTGCCAGAGGCCCGGGCGCTGCGCGGGCAGCCACCCTCCTCTGCTGGCGGATCGGGGCCACTGCAGGGCAGCCCCCGGAGCGCCCGGGCCCGGCGGGGGCTGGGGGTGCGGCGGCGGCAGCGGCGGCAGCGGCGGCTCCCGGGACCCCGGCCTGCACAGTCGGAGTCCGGCCGGGTCCACGGGGCTTCCCAGGCTGAGCACCAGCCCGGCCTGCAGGGGCAGCCGGCTGCCTCCTGGCACTGTCCCCACATGTGTCCCTGCACCCGAGGGCCTGGGGGTCCCCCGGTCTCTGTCAGCAGAGCCAGGAGGACCGGGCCGAGAAGGCGCCATGGGGGTGGCAAGCAGGGCAGCCCCACGAGCCACTCAGCGGCCCTGCCAGGAACCCATCGGTAGAAGGGGGATTGAACACGACCAAGGGTCAGGGCCGTGTGTGGCCGGCCGGGTCCCTGCCCGTCCGAGGCGGCGGGGACGGTGGCAGGCCGAGGCACCCCAGGCTCTGACCAGGGGTGTGGGGGCGTCCCCGTCAGCTCTGGCCTTGGGGGCATGCAGAAGGGGCGGGCGGGGGAGGGGTTCCGTCTGCCTCCCCTGCTCTGCGACCACGGGCCAGTCGCTGCCCACCTCCCTCCAGCTTGCAGGGGGTGGGTGGGGCACAACGAGGACCTTCCAGAAAGCTCTGAGGACCCAGAGCGGGCACAGAGCAGAGAGGGAGCCGGGGCCTCCTCCGAGTCTCGGGACCCACCCACCCTGGGTGCCAGGCCGCCAGCGGCTGCCCTGGGTGAGGTCGCTCCCCAGACCCCACCATCCCCCCTTGGCCGGCCCCTCCCCGGGGCCCGGGGTGTCCGGAAGGAGCGGCCAGACCGTTCTCACCCTGCTCCGTGCCCCCCCGCTGCCCCGATCGGAGGGGCAGGGCCGTGGGGCCTGTGGGTTCACGGGACGGGGCGGGGCCCCTGGAGGCCCGAGAAAGATGTCTGAGAAGAAAGGTGGGGTGGGGTCCACGGGCCCGTGGCCGAGCCCACTGAGAGCCCACCGAGCCCAACTGGGAGCCGTGGGCTGACTGCGGGGGGGTGGCCCTGGCCCCCGTGGGGCACCGACCCCGGGGAGCGGACGCCAGCCCCCAGCGTGTCCGCCTGCAGGACCAGGGCTGGCCTCGGTGTGGTTCTGCCGTAACAGGGCGCTCGGGGTCCCCCACTCCACAGGCCGCCCCAGGCAGCAGACCCTTCCTCTGACGGGGCAGGCAGGTGGGCCAGGGATAACGTGCGACTCAGCCTGGCTGTGCAGCCCCCTTTCCCGGGCAGAGCACCCCCATGACCCCTCGGACGGAGGGGCCCCTGGGGGGAGCCTGGGACTCGAGCTCCAGGAACCCCGCCAGGGGCCTCTCCGTCTGAGGGGGTGGCGTGCCGTGTCCCTGAGCCACCCAACACCTTCCTCCATCCTCCTCAGCCACCGGGAATGCGCCCGCTGTGGGTGGTGGTGGTGGGGCGGGGGGGCGGGGGGTAAAAATAGAAGCTGACACGGCCCAGAGGGAGGCAGGTGGACGTGGCCTCCTCGGCAGACCCGTCCCCCGGCCTCAGCTCCTTGGGCCTCCTGCTCGGCTATTCCTATACTTGGTCAGGGGCCCGCGAGGGCACGGCCCGGCCAGCCCGCCCCCGGCCAGTGGGCTTCTGGGAAAGATCGGATGTCACTATAACATGAGGGCGTGGGCCCGAGGGGGCAGTGCCTGAGCCACTCGTGTCCACAGGGAGCGCCAGCCCTTTCTCCGGACTCGGCCGCAGGTGGGTTCGGCCTCCAGCAGCCGGCCTGGGGCTGGGCGGGGCCCGCCGGGCGTCGGTGTCGAAGGCCCCCTCGGGTCCGGGGCGCTGTGGGTCCCGAGCGTCTCCGCTCTAAGCACGGTGGCCGGGGGAACCCAGGGAGCCCTCCCAGGGGCTGGGGGCCGGCCCCATGGGCTGAGGGTCTCTGGACATCCGAATGACACGGAAGAGGTGTCCCAGACCAGCGCAAGGGGGCGGCGGAGGCCCAAGGAGGGCGGTGGGGCCTTCGGGAAGACCCTGGGGTGCGAGGGCCGCCCCACAGCGGGAGCTGGGAGAGCGGGGGTCCGCTGGCCGCAGCGCCGTGTACCACTGCAGGGCACTCAGCCCCGGGCCCCTCCCCGGGGCCGCCCGGTGGCCTCCTTCGCCGCCATTCGAACAGACGACCCCCAAGGCAGGGGCTCGTCCTGTTCACCCCAGGGTGGTTTCCGGGCCGGGTGGGTAGGACCCAGCATCAAGGACGGGGTGAACAGGGCCTGGGGGGCTGGGGTGGGGGACAGGGCGCAGGAAAAGGGCGCCAGACCCCCGGCCCGCTGTCGGGGACGTGGAGTCCCACCCCCGTGGCTCCAGGAGCGGCACCGCCCTGCCCTGAGGGGCCCTGCTCATGCCTCCGCCCTTCCTAGCGCCCCGTCGGGTCGGGGCCCAGCCGTCCCGCCCGCAGGCACCCCGACCGGGTGTCCTCGCGGCCCGCTCCCTCTTGGGTGCCCTCAGCCGTCCCGGGAGGAGATGGGCGAGGAAATCAGCCGGATGGGGTGGGCCCAGTGGGGGGACGTGCGCTGTCCGGGGCCCACGGCCAGGCACTGGCAGGGCCTCCTACCCCCTCCGCCCCCCGCACCCCGCTGGGCCTCGTCCCCTGGGAAGGGGACATCCCCTGTGCGTCCCAGGGGAGGTGACCTCACAGGCTGTGCCCCCTCCGGCCCCCCTGACGGTGGGACACTGCGTGGACAGCTGGTTCCCCTCCTGGCTGTCACAATGCCAGCCCCTGCCCCCGAGCACCCCCCACGCTCGGGGCCCCTTCCCGACGGACAGGAGGGGAGGGGCACAGAGCAGCCCGGGGGGCGGGGGTGGGCAGCTGTCAGCACCTCAGCGGGTGGAGGGGCGGGGGCCCAGAGGGGCCTCAGTTTCCCCACTTGGAGAGTGAGCCCTTGCCGTCTCACATGGTAGGGGCACCTGCCCCGGGTTTCGGGAGCCCTCCTGGGTGCCCCTCCCACGCCTGCCCAGAAGGACCAAGGAGGTCAGGCCGGCTGGGGAGACCTGGAGGGACAGGGAGGGGGCTGGCCTGGCCAAGACCTGAGCGGGCAGCTGCCCCGCAGCCCCCCTCCCACCGTCTTGGGTTTCTGAGCAGAGGAGTCTTGGCCGATTTGGGTGCCTATTTCTGGACACCTCAGCTGCTGCTGGCTCCTTAAAATAACCCTCCCTGGGCCCTGGCCATGGCCGCCCCCTCTCAAGGAGGCCGACAGGTGTTGGGCACTGCCAGGGGGAGAGGTGGGCACAGCAGGGGGAGGCCCAGGCTCTCACCGGCCCTCCGCAGAGGCGCCCCAAGGGTGGGGTGCACAGCCGGGGGCTGGGAGGCCCGGGGAGCCGTGAGACCCCCACTACAGACGAGGCCGGAGGCTGTAACTCGGGGGGCGGCAGGGTGCAGGAAGAGACCCGGGGGCGGGAAGGGATTGGCGCCAGGAGGGGCCCGCGGAGCCGGGCCGGTTAATGGTGCGTGGAGCCCGGGCTGCTCTGGGAAAGTCCGCATTCCTGGCCCAGGCCGAGCAGGGCCACTCCCACCTCAGCGGTGCAGCGCGGGTGCATTTTTCGGCGATGAACGCCTGTGTGGCTTGCGCGGGGCTCCCTGGGCGGGGGCGGGGGCGGGGGTGCTGCCACTATTGTCTCCGAGTGGGCTGCCACGCGGCGTCACGACCCCGGTCGTTCAAGACCTCCGGCCGCTCCGGGGGCTCCCGGGCCCTGGCCACCTCGGGCGTGTGCGCCGGCCAGCTCGCCGGAAAACCGTCCTCACGCACGCTGGCCCGACGCCGGCTGCACCTGGACACGTGCGGCCCGGGCCCAGGGCTTCCCAGAGACGCTGACAGATTCAAGAGCGGGCCGAGGGCCTGGGAAAGCGGGCGGGGGCGGAGGGGGGCTGGCGGGACGGGACGTGCCGCTCCGCTCCGCAGAGCACGTGCGGGGGACACAGAGGGGAGGCCCCCCCTCCGCCCCCACGCGCTCCGGGCTCGAGCTGCTGCCTGGCAGCGTGAGGGCCAGGCCCCGGGGGCAGCCGGTGCGCTCCTGCGATCCGGGCCGAGGGCGGTGGGCACACGCAGGGGACCCCGGGGCCCTCGGAAGAGAGCGTGAGACTTCGCAGGAATGTGAGGGCCAGGGGAGGGAGCTTGGAGCTCACAACAGGAACGTGGGCTCTCGTGGGGACGGTGGGGCGGGGAGGCCGGGGGGCCCCCCACCCCGGCCTCGGGGCGGAGACCACCAAGAGCAGATGGGAGGCAGCCAGAGCAGGCCTTGTGCCTCGTCCAGGGCGGCCTGGACGGCCTCGCTGGCCCGGACACGCACGCCTTCCTCGGGGAGCACTTGGGGGAGCATGTCCGCCTCGGTGGTGGGGGTGGGGGCGGCGCCGCAACCTCCCCACATCCTGTCCAGCTCTGGGATTCCAAGCTGGGAGCTGCAGCCAGGGCGGGAAGGGGAGGGGGCCGCTCCGAGTCTGGGGCCCCGGGCGGAAAGCAGGGGGCCTCGCGGAGAGGCCTGGAGTGTGGGAACGGGCCCGCCCGAGGCCAGGGACGCAGCCCCCCACCCTGTCCGCAGATGTGCCCCCTCGCTCGCCCACCCCCTACCCGTCCCGACACCTCCGGACGCAGCCCACCCCTCACTCCGCTCTTGGTCTCCCCCCCGCCCCCCGCAGGGAAAGCCCGCCACCATGTCTGACGAGGAAGTGTGAGTAGCCCACTGCGTGGCCCCTGCCTGCCTGGGACCCCTGGGCCATGGCTGCGTGTGGGAGAGCCCCCCAGGCTGAGTGGAGGCCCCTCCCCCTCCCCTCTCTCTCTCTCTCTCGCCCCGCAGTGACCAGGCAGAGGGTAAGTGCGGGAGCCGCTCCTTCTCGCCGCGTGGCCCCCTGGGGAGGCTCC